GCTGTAGACAACAGCTTCCAACTGACAGACGTTTGTCAATGTAACTGTGCTTTCTCTAGGTCACTGCCAACATTGCTCGAGATGTGTTTCCACCCACAATGTTTGAGCTGTCTTACTTGTATGTGATAATGTTCTTCTATCGGGAGTTGGTTAGTGGTGTTTGGAATCCTTGAAATATACTACTTCTCTCTATTTTCCTTCCCCATCAGTGTTTCTATGGATCCCAGAGCCCTTCAATAGAGCTGATCTCGACAGAACATCACTGCAGGGCACAGATGACCACTGCGTATCCATCTTGTGTAAGTCACTGTATGGACACACTTGGTTTGTGACAGATGGGAAAGGACGGCATGAGAGAGCTTTAAGAAATTATAGTAAAATAAAAAGCACAGGTAATGTCCGGTATGTATTGATAGAGAATGGTATAGAATACAGCACTGATTTATTCGTGTTTCGCGTATTTTTCTCTTTTAGAAATATGTCTTTTGAGTGACACTAAGTTAAGATGCATGTTTTTATTGTCTTTTTCAGCTAAATGAAAGCTGAATCTTATGATGCTGACCTCACTCCTGGATTGGTTCATTCAGACCACCGTAGAAGGTCCAAGAAGACACATTTCTTAAAGCTGTATCACATCTAAAAATCCAGTTTGAATTCTTCAGAGATATGGTAATACAGTGTTAAGATTAACATAGCAACATAAGGCATGCCACATATTGTGGTGGAATATAAGGCTGTGTTGATCCTAACATTGTTTTCAGGTTTAAATAACAGCTAAATCGTTTCTCATGCATAATGTTGTGCTGTAAGCTATTGCATTTTTTGGTCATATATCCTCTTTTTGCTTAATCCCACAGGAAAAAAAAAGGACATAATTGGATTAAATGGCTGTTGAAGATGGAGTATATTTTGTCTACCCTATGACAGCTAAATGGGAAGGTTTAACATGGTGCATTAAATCTTGATAGATATACAACTACTTGAAACGATATACTTATAAATATCTGTATGCCGCACAAACAGTTCTGCTTGTTTTAGGGTTATAGAAGCAGCTTGTTTCTGTGCTTTCTCCCATTGTGACATCTGTGAGCAGATGACTCTGTTAGCTCTGCGTATGTCACTTCTAGCAATGTCGAAATGCTACTCATCAGAACCTGTGCTTTCAAAGCCTGAGGCTTCAGAAATTATTTAACAGTTAAACAAAAGGTACAGTAAATTATTTTCACACAATACACAACAACTCTTTAAAGACAAACGCATCTCATTAATGCTTCAAGTTCCTCCGCTGAATGTGTTTCTCCCTGCAATGAAAATTTCAAAACATCCAATCATGTTTTTCTGAGTGGCATTTTAACATCGTCTTAAGTGCCCTTGAGGTTATCAGCACAGCTCAGACTGAATTTTAAAATTCAATTTTCTTATTGACTACGAATGAAACAATATCATTTTGAAGAACGGGGAAAGCAGAATCGTCTATAGGCTTAAGATTTTACATGCATTTCCACTGATGCAATAAAACTATAATTGTTTTTATTGTCGTCCATAAACACATCTCTTTCGTCTTTTTACTGCCAATTTCACTCAGCTGTTGTCAGCCAATCTAGCAGTTCTCTCTGTCATCATCTCTCTGTTATGTGCTGATGGAGAGAATAAAGTGATAAAATGATTTTATTTCATTTATTTTTCGATCACTTAGCAGACCGGGTAATCAGATTCTGTCACTCTGCCACCAATAATATGAACTCCTATGAACCACATTCAAATTAAAACTCCTTATGATAATGCTACAGTAAGAGAACATGTCCTGTTAAAGGGGTGGTTTACTGCTTTTTTTCTTTGCATGATTGTGTTTATGGGGTGTAATATAACATGTATTTGTGGTTTTTCTTTTTTTTTCATAAATATAGAAAAAAAGTCTTATATAATAAGACTTTTTCATAAGTCTTATTTTTCATAAATTTCACCTTTATTGTAAGCTGCTTTCTCCTCTGTCATTTGAACAACCAATTGACTTCCTGAGTCTATGAAACCACTCCCTCAGAAACAGGCAGTGGGCTCAGATTGGTTAGTTTGGGCGAATTTGCATGTGTTGTTCACATGTGTTGTTCATGTCAAATGTAAATAGTGGTGTTGATACTGCAGTATCAGTATGAGCCAGCATCAGACCGAGAAAGCGACGATGAAGAGAGTCAAGCGGAACCTCCCTAAACACGGCTCTTACAAAACCTTTCTGAATGGTAATTTGCCTATATTTTTTCAAACTTTATACACATTTGTTTTACACAATAGCATCGAACTGACTGGCAACTATATACACAAACAATGTTGGCAATGGTTTACGTTCTTGATCAAATCGAAAAATAATGTCATAAAGTTATACATGAAAAATACATTTACAAAATTACTATATATACAAATTCTGGTCCAAAATGTTTGTACGTGTTTTTCGTAGACACAAAATAGCATAACTAAGTGGCTATAAAGCCAGCGCTAAAACATTACGTCTGAAATACATTTAAAATGATTAAGTCTTAGCTTACTTACAGGTTGTGGCCCAACAACAGCTGCCTCTGGTTTTAAAGTTGGAACTGCTTCATGTTTTAGTAACAGTTTCTTGTTGAATCCAGTGTTGAATTCGTGGAGATTCTGGAAGCTGTCTTCCTTAAATGCGGAGCACAGAGAGCTAAATTACGATTATAATTTTCAGGAACATAATCAAACACAAGTTGTATCCATTGTTGACGAACTATAACGTCCGTGGGAAGCCCGAACACAGAAGACCTGACAGAAGGATGAAAATAACACACTTTCGACGAACCGAAGAAATATGCGCATGCCCTTTTTTGCATATTCCGGAGGGAGGGTAGATGTAAATGTGTGGGTTAGTGACGTGTAAAACCCAGTTGTAGTCCCAATCGAGTCATTTTGTAGGCATTAAACGTCCTGATTTTTAAAAGACGATATCTCTGCTTACATTTACAACTTTCAGCGCTGCAACTTTGCAGATACTGTTCATGCACCAACAGCAAAAATGAAAAAAGTGAAATCGCAATCAACCACCCCTTTAAAAAGTGAATTCTCTCATGTAATGTAATGCATAGAAGTAAAGTTGATAAGATCCTGACCACCAGAAACAGTTTTTATATGTCAAAGTATTTAATAAAACGTTACAACACACCAATGTATGATGTCTTATGACGTCTTTATTTCAGTTCAATGGTATGTTTACATGACAACAATGTACAAAAATTTTTGCTTTTTTTTCACATACAGACAACAACTTTGTCAAAATCATCACCCGTTCAGACGGATCCTTGAAAACATCTAAAAGCGTTGTGTAATGCATGCCATGCCAGTTGTTGGCGATGTCCTTTTGTAAAGAAACACCAAGCGCCTATAGACTAAACATGTAATAAGCATGTCACAGTTTTCACAAATGTGCAGTTTTGTAGTTTACACGATAACAGTATAGTTTTAAAAAACATCCACTTTGAACCCCAATTTGTTGTGCAAATTAACAACCATACAATTTCCGTTTTTAATTAATGGCCCCCTAGACGTGGGCTTTGGGCTGGGATCTTTACGCAACTGTTCCCATCATGCATTGTTCTGCTTCAACACTAATAAAACACACCTGAACCCCATCAGGCTTTACATGTTCACATGGAAATCACTGGCAGGTGTGCAGGAGCAAGATGTAAACTGCATGAAAGCAGATCCCAAGGCCTTATTTAATATTAGCAAATGCCTGTTTTCAGTACTTTCAATTTTGGATCAAAATTGTTTCCAAGGGTGTAGACAAATTTAACAGATGTTTAAAATATGCCCCTCATCCAAAATTTTATATTTAGAAAATGTATGCCTGGGTTTTGTGTGCCAATTTGTGTGAAACTTGCATTCACACAGCCCTCTACTTTCAAAAATTATTAAAAGTGAAATGAAATTCTGAATAGTGAAATGGTTAACATGCAAAAACATGGAAGAATACTATAGTACACAATAACTGTTAACTGAGAACAAGGCAAAGAACTGCTGGACTTATAAAGCATTTAAAAAAAAATTAAACACTTCTGGAATAGTTTATTCATTGAAAATAATGAATAATTTTGCAATTAAAATGATAAATATTACGTTGGATCTATATTTTGAGGATCTACATCTTCTAGGAACAAATTTATACAAGCACTCAAGGACAGGGGAGCATGTATGAAGTGTAAGCTGGTCTGACAGGACTAGCTTTCTCACACAAATGCTTGCGAACACTGTGAGCTTGAGTGTGCCATCATTAAAGTGTGCAGCAGACCCTTGTGTGACTTTCTCTGACGGTAATAAATGATGTGCAGTGCAGTGCCAAGCACAAGCATGTCCCTTCATTAGGCAGCCAGACCCACCGTCGACATAAGGGCCAGATGTCACAGGGGTTCTTTCCTGCACAAATCTGTCCCCAGCAGCAGAGATGCAGACAAAACGACGAAGCCCTGTCTTATACACCGCATATGAGGGCCGTTGCTGTGACAGTGAAAAAGCGTGTCTGATGTCTGGCATCTGGTGAGTTGGAGCTAACACATGGAAAAGGCTTTGAGAGGTGCTCTGTCAACTGCAATGTTCAGGGATTTTTATCATGTCTGGATTTTTACTATTGGGGGGGGGGGGGGGGATCGGTGTCTGAATGTCTAGTTATATTGCTGTGCATATATTTACTGTTTAAATGGCTCAGCTTTATAGGCACTGCTGCCACCATTCATGAGTGTTCCAGTGTATGTCAACCCTATCATATGAACCATTTCACTTATCATTTAAGTGACAACGCATTCTCACCCCAAGGCGTCACCTTTGACCATGCTTCAATATTTGACGTTTTAGGCGCCCTTTAGCGTCACTTACATGACGCGATCCTACGGCGTCATCTAACTGACGCTAAAGGAAAGCGTCAGTTAGAAGACGCGGTTAGGTTTAGGTGTGGGGTGGGGGTAGGGTACACGCGATCCTAGGGCGTCATCTTACTGACGCTAAAGGGCGCCTAAAGCGTCAGATATTGAAGCATGTCCAAATGCTTCCCAAGGCGTCAGTTAGGTGACGCCTTGGGGGTGAGAATGGGCTGTAAATGAATAATGTCCCATTTAAAAAAAAAGTATTAAATGGGGAATATCTCACAGTGCAAAGTTCTTTACCTAGACAGATAAAAACACAAAAAATGGTGTTTTAAGAAATCATTATTCAACCATAACTTTAGGACATTAATTACAAATAAAGATTCCAAAAGGGGGGTTTTGCAGTGATGCCACAGAAGATCCATATTTAGAACATTCAGTGAACCGTTCTTAATAGAAATATGGTTTTTCTCAGTGTGAATAACCTTTTTATCTAAAGTGCCTTTATTCACTAATCTTTTGTGCAGTGGAAAGGTAACACTTTATTTGAAGGGGTGTGCATAAGACTGACATGACACTGTTATTATAAACATGACATAGCACTTGTCATGAACATGAAGGAGTCTTTCTGAATGTTCATGACTTATGTCATTAAGTGTCATTCGGTAAATTATGACACTTTTCATGCAAAGTTGACATTGTTTAAAATGTTTTTGATATGACAACTTGACATTAACCAAGACAAAAATGTCTTGATTATGACAACTTGACATTAACCAAGACAGACATGTCTTTGTTATGAGGCAATTGTTTGATTTTGCCAGGAGAGTCAGGTGTTCTCTGATTAGTGTTTTTTCTTTTTCTTTTAACCTTTATTTTACCAGGTAGGCACATAGAGGACTCATTCTCATTAAAAATGGATAAAGAGTTTAAAGATTTGGTTTTGTTTTTAAGCTATTGATAAAGTGGGTACTGGTTTCAAAAAATGTAACATTATAAAATGGGCTAGAAAAAAATGTGGTGTGAGGAATATGATTCCTTGAAAAGCCCAAACAGTCTCTTTTTAACCGTCATTGTGCATTTAAACAAACTGCTCCATTGATAATGTGACAGTACGGTATGACGGGAAATAATACATTTTAGGAAATAAATTTTTTATTGATTCAAGTGAGAATAGAAACAATGGAATAAATGTATCCAGATCTCAAAATATTGATAAAAAACCTGAACTTTTAGGGTGTGCAATGAACGAGAGTGCACAAGCTCTGAGATAAAACAACAGTGCACTAGATCAACTAGACAGAATACTTCCTCCTGCATGGAGACAGCTAGCTTAAACAGTCAATGTCATTTGATGAACTGTAGTCTTATCTCAAAACAGAAAATGAGAAATTCAATGAGGAATCATTTCATCAGAATTCATCTTATTTTCTTTTTGGGGTTCTCACAAGGACCAGGCTTGTTGTGAGGATGTAAGGATGAGCTGACAGCTCAAACAGGTTAATTCCTGCACACGTTCTGACAGTATCGAATTTAAATCTGTCTTTCCAGAATTTGTACTATTTACCAGCAAAAAATGTCAGGGATTTGTAACTGTTCAGCTCAGTGTAAATTGTTGTAATGTTCCAGACTGCGGCATCCTATAAGCAGGGTTTAACATTCCATCACACTGCAGGACTATTTAGAATATTATGACTCTTTATACAGTCTTTAAAGATGGAAAGCATATTGGAGTTTTCTTTCATTACAGTTCATTTATATACAGTTATAAATGAAAGAAATGGAATGAATGAATAAATGAAATGGCACGTATTCATTCCATGTGTTTCCTCATTTTATACTTTCTCTAAATGTTTCAAGTTTTGGAGGGAAATATTGTTTTAATTGATAATCAATCCTTTAATTTTGAAAAAATTTATTTTCCTTTCTAAATTTTGAGTTTCTTGAAACTCAGGATTCTGATAGAGGGCCACTAGACTTATAGACCTGAGTTCAAAAATGGAGGCTCTAGACCCTTCCAGAGCTGAGATATTGAGATGTTTGTAATGTGATAAATGCTATGTGGGATCTCAATATCTCAGCTCTGGAAGGGTCTAGAGCCTCCATTTTTGCACCCAGGTCTAAGTCTCATGGCCCTCTATCAGAATCCAGAGTTTCAAGAAGATCAGAGAAACTCAAAATTTTGACCCAAAAAAAAAAAAAAAACGACAGTGGCCCTTTCGTTTTTTTTGGTGTGAAAAAATAAGTTTCTCCAATGTTCTTGAAACTCTGTTTTCTGATAGAGGGCCATGGGACTTTCAAAAGATTGGAGA